TTTTTTTTTTTTTTTTTTTTTTTAATGTGTGATGGTCAGGGAAACTTCATTGAGGAAGTGACACTTAGCCTGTTACCAGAAGGAAGTTATATAGAGTGGTTGGTGGGGGTGAAACCAGAAGAGCATGTTGGGAAGAATGAAGACCTGAAGCCCTGAAATTGGAAAGAATATGACATTTCTAGGAACAAAAAAATCAGTGTGGCCGGAGCATAGTATGAACAAGGTGGAAGTGTATTAAATGGGTTGAGAAATAATACAGAGGTTGGATTTTATTAAAATGTAAGTAAGAAAAGTACTGACAGATTTTAAGTAAGGACTTATCCCGATTTGATTTGTATAGACAGAAATTGATTTGGTTTCTCTTTGGAGGAAATACTGAAAGAAGGTAAGATGGAAGCTTTAGTTAAAATCCTGGGAAGTGATGATGGTTTGATTCTAAGTGGTAGTGTTGGAAACAGAACACAAGATAGATGGTGGAAAGAGAATGAATGCGATTTGTTAATGAATTTAGTAGTTGTAACAGAAGAGGAGAAATAAATGAAAAACAGGCTTCTGTTACTGTGTGTATACTGGTGCCTTTCCAGATATAAATAAGATTGAGAATTGGGACAGGTTCAAAGAAAGGATGGGTCAAGACTTCTATGTTCTGTTGAGTTGGCTAAGAGGCAATCTGGTGGACTAGTTAAGATTGTGGTAGCAAAATGTGTATCTAGAGATCTCAAATATATGATAGATCTGACTAAAAACATAAATTTGTGAGTCCATCCCATGAAGGAGTTCACTCAGAAAGAGAGAAGTGGGTGGAGGATTGAGGTTGTAATATATCTTAGTAGTACTTAAAAGTTAGGCAGGGACCAGGCAAGGTGGCCCACACATCTGGCTGAGGCAGGTGGATTGCTCGAGTCCAGGAGTTCGAGACCAGCTTAGGCAACATGGCAAAATCTTATCTTTACAAAAAAATGAGGTGGGCATGGTGGTGTGAACCTGTAGTCCCAGCTACTCAGGAGGCTGAGGTGAGAGAATTGCTTGAGCACTGGAGGTAAAAGCTGCAGTGAGCCCTGATCCCACCACTGCACTCCAGCCTGGGTGACAGAGCAAGACACTGTTTTTCCTTAAAAAAAAAAAAAAAAGTCAGACAGAGGAAGAGGACCCAATATGGCAACTGTTGAGGAAAAGCCAATAAGGGTTAAGGAAAATTAAATTTGTAGGTAGTGATATTTTGGAAGCTGACAGAACATGGTAGTCAGAGAAGAAAAGATTAACTGTGTTTAATGCTACTAAGGTGTCACATAATGTGCACGTAGAGAAACAAATGGTAGTATAAAATCTGGCAACATGGAGGTGATTGGTGAGAAAATTCAAGAACAGGACTCCATGTTTGGATCCCCTTCCAGGAACACTCCCTTCGTGGAAGCCGTCTTTCTCTCTCCTGGATTTCCCCTCTGGAGTCCCCTTCCACACTCTCTCATGGAAGCCTGTCTTCCCCTTCTAAACTCCATCTCTCTCTATTCCCTTCCACTCAGTGTGGAAGCTGCTTTCCTATCCTGGATTCCATCTTTCTGGATTCTCTCACTCAGTGTGAGAGTTAGCTGTGTCTTTCTCTCTCCTTCTCCTGTTTCTCTCTCTCTTTAAATAAACCACTTTCTACAGAAAATAAATTCATAATTAAAAAAGGAAACGTCAAGAACAATGTTATAATGCTTCATAACTTCCTCAGAGCTCTTAGGGTAAATTTATATCTCTCAGAATCTGCAAGGCTTGGCAGGGTTTGGCCTCCCTCGGAAGCCTCTTCATTTTCCAGGCTCTGCTTCTTTCTACATCAGCCACACATATCTCTTTCTCTTCCCTGAACACACTCTCCTCCTTTAAATTTATTATTTCTGCCTAGAATACTTTCCTTCTCCTCACACGCACTTAACTTCTATTATTTTCTTCATGTCTAGCTCCATTGATTTATGTTCCAGGCAAACTTCCCAACCTCCTGAATAGGCCAAATATCCTATGATATGCTTAAATCAGAGTGTGAAGTATATTTCCTTTGTGCCAAAAGTGTCATAATGATTGGATAATTAATTATTGTGTCTTCCACTAAAGTGCAGATAAGGAAAAGAGCATGTCTGTTTTTGCTCACCATTTTTCCCCCTGTCAGGTAAAATGACTGTCTTACATTAGGAGCTTGCTTTGTATCTGTTGAATGAATGAATGAGTGAGTGAATGAATGAATGGATGAGTGAATGAATGAATGAATGAATGAGTACTGTCTGCCTCTGCAGTTTACTTGTCATCTGTTTCTGTCATATGTCACCTTAAAAATCTGGAAAATGACTTGATTAAGTAAAATCTTAAGTTTTTAAGCTTTTAAAAATCTATTTTAAGTTGATTAGCTATGATTGTTTTGAAATTTCCTTCATTAAGATTTGAGATGACTTTGGATATGTACTGTTTTCAGCTACTCAACAAGTGCCACTGTGTTTACTATGTATGAAATCTGATGTTACTTCCTGGCCATTTCCTAGACTCAGTTGTTCTTCGCAAAATACCCATTTATCAGCAGCCAGCCCACCCTCCCTCTGGGAATCAGTGAGAGTGGATCACATAAGCATGTCATAAACACTCCTTCTGTTTTCTTTGAGAGTTTTCTGCTGATGCAAGCAGAAGGCTTGGATGCCAGGCCTTTATGTGATAGAGCAAAAATTTCCCTAGATATTCTGTGGGAAGACCAGCTGCGACCCAGAGTCCTGCCTGGATGCCGGCTTAGCGTAATATACTATCAAGGGCAACTGGGCTCTGTCTCCTAACAAGCTGCTAGGGCCTTCCCTCTTGCTTACCCGCCTGCTGGCCTGGACCTCAGGGCTATCAAACCTCTGGTTTGCCATTGTCTCCATTCTAGGACATTGGAATTGTATATACATTTATCTGCTGATTTCTCTATATTTCAAGCTCAATGTCTTTTCACCTTTATAATATACAATGCAGATTTTGCTAGTGAAAATTCTGATATTTCCTGTAGACATTAAACTTAATTTTAGCACATTAAATATGTTAAAACATTATATATATGTTGGATTAACCCATATGATGCAACTCATTTGTTGCTAATCTATCTTGGATTCCATGGGTAGAGTCTGTCTTCTCACCTGTCTGAAATAGAATTGAATCTCCGAACTTCTTACTATTTTTTCAAAGCCAAAAAACCCTTTTAAAATGCTTAAGACTGCTAAACTTACATTGTTATGGAGTAAATATTTTATATATTTTCTTCCTTTAAAAGCATCATATACCCTTTTCTCCTGGCCTCTAATTGTGCCAAATATTCTGCCATAACAGCAAGCTAACAGAGCACAAGTATTTGCTTAAAGATATTTAGAGCTAATCCCCAAAGAGTTTTCTGTTGCAGATGTATTTTAAGACATAGGCTGAGGAGCTGAGTATTCAAATCCATGAGCTCTGACACTGATGTTTTATTAGGCCTACCTACATGAAAATTAGTGCTTACTTACATAGCTATCATATTTAAAAATACATTTGCAAAAAGAGAATATTATCATCACCGAGTCAAAGGTCTGTCTTTTAGAGTATTGTAAACTTATGCAGTACAAGAAGATTGGGAAATGGTATGAGAAAAATAAAGGGCAATAGTAAAGTAAGTAAGGAAAGGAAGATGAAACTTGGGGACTTGGGTTCCACATTTAACTTGTCTACATCCTAGATGCAAGATCTTAGACAAATCAGCTAACCTCTCTGAACATCACAGATAACATTATCTAGCTCAAGGGTATTGTACAAATTATACAATGTATGTAAAGTGAAAGCATAGTTCCTGCACATAGTAAGCACTTCATAAGTTAAATATAATAATAATAATCATAGTAAAATAATATACATAACTACAATCTTATTGAAATACTACCTAGAGTTTAAGCTGTGGGATTACTTCCATTTGCACCAAGTGTGATAGAAATTTGGCTCTTTAGTTCCTAGCAGCCAATGTAGGAGTAAAACAATTAAGATTGTAAATATCAAAAAGATTTATTTACTTAAATACAAGAACCCTACAATAATGCTTCTTAACTAGAGCTTGCAGAGTTACAAAACGGCTCTGTCTGTCTAAAAGCTCCCCAAGCATTATCTATAGCTCAAAAAGATGAGCTACACTTGGGTGTACTTTTATTTTTAAAGGCATATAAATAATGTAATAATAACACTAATTCATTTAATTGTATTGTTGGATTTATATATTTTTTGCCAGTAAGCATTTTCCTAATAGATGGACTTAACTAAGAACATCAGAATTGTGAAGAGCATAGTGTAGTGTCTTCTTTATCAAAAAGGAGAAGGAAACAGGTTAACTTCTGTGAAAGACATCTCTTGTTTTTCACTGTCCTTTCCCTCATCAGTAACATCAAGAACATCCTAAGTCACAGAAGCATTAGGTTTTGGAAGCAGGGTTTGCTGTAATTACAGTAGAAATGACATTTTGATTCCACTCCTAGCTTCACAAGGATATCTGTGAAAGATTTGGGGCAAAACTGTTAAGCTGTCTGAAAGTGCTTTTGCATAAGAAATGGGTTTTACTGCTAAAACTCTCATATTGCTGAGTTTTCAATGCCCTAATGGTGAATGATACTGGGTTGCCAAAAATAACCAGATTGGTAGTTTTTTGATTCCTTTGGCCATCTTAGTAGGTCAAATATTGGTATTTTCTACTAAGTCAGGTAGCATCTTGCCAACCCCCATTTTGTTATACTCATGCTGAATCTGCTTCTCATCTCTTGAGTAAGAAAATTATTGATTATTTTGTGGGGATTTAATGTTTTTTTTTTAAATGGTAATGGATACTGTTAAGGAGTATTATTTGGATACTTTAATAACATCATCCTTAATGGGAAAATCTTTTAAAAGGCTTTCTAACTTCTTGTAATTACTTGAATTAAGGAAGTGCAATGCCATTCTACTGACTTAGAACAACTTTTTTGACTTCCTGCAAAGAGGACCCTTACAGTATTTTTGGAGAAGTTAGTAAAACCGAATCTGACATCATCACGTAGCAGTTCATGCAGTTAGCAAGTGGTTTGTTCTTAGGGTAACAGGAGGAAATTGTTCCTTGTCTGATAAGACAACAGTGGAGAGTATGCATTTATTTATTTACTTTTACATTTTTGATTCGTTTTTACATCAAAAAGCTTCTACAGAGATAACCATTATTTTGCCTTCCAGAAGGACGCATGCTGTTTCTTAAGGATACGGCTGACTTCCAGATATGAACATGTATTTGTGGCTTAAACTGCTGGCATTTGGCTTTGCCTTTCTGGACACAGAAGTACTTGCGGCAGGTAAGTACAAGGATGTTATTTTTTAAAATTATTTTTTCTCATTTGGAGGAATGTTTGAAATAGACATAAAAATAATTTAAATGTGTTGGTAACTGGAAGTGAGAAGCCTGCTGTAAACCGTCAAGACTTGTCTCAGAAGGACACAGCTTGTTGTGTGACAGAGTACATTGTTTCTGTTTAAGAAGATTCCAATGTTTGGGACAAAAAATACTATTTTAAAAGGAACACATTGTCTATCCGTATCTTTATTTACAACTGTTCAAAGATTTTACAAAAGCAATTGTGTTACTTAACATTTTATAAATGTGTGTGACAAGAACACACATTTATAAAAAGCGGAGAATTTTTTAATGATAAAATAAGTGTATTTTTATTCTTTTAACAAAAATAGGTCTTTTAAAAAGTTGTAAGACGGCTTTGGTTGTATGTAAGCCACTCTCTCTTTTCAGACCTGAATTTGCTTCCTCAAATTTTGAGTTTAATTGACGTATTTTGTTGAATACTTGGGTATATGATAGTTCAAATATATATCGAGGTATTTAGTAAAATATTAACGTTCTGCATTTTTTTTTAAAATCACGGAATGTATTTTAAATCAAGCTTTTAGTTTCTTAGTAATACATTTTTGCTTTAGAAATTCCTGTGGAGCCACCGCCCTTCCTGGGTGGTGGGTAAATATGACAGCCTCGATGAGACAGAAATATTTAAACTCTTAAGAGTCATGCAAATGCTGTATCCCATAGGAAAATGTAACTAGCTGGACCTCCAGGACCCAATAAAGTTTGAAATCTTTGCACATTTATGGTTTATTCAATGGATAGTTCTTGCGCGGTGTCAATTTGAATCACGAGTACATTTCAACAGATTATAGAATTTAAGTAATAATTAGTATTTCTCTTTATGATGTACCGTCTAAAAGGACATTGAAAATAAAATTTGTGTAGAAATTCCAAAAGTATAAAAAATATTTTAAAACGTCTTGCTTATTAAACTTCACTTTGAAATCTTTTTCTGACTTTTATCGTTCTCCTTTCCTCTGAAAGTCAGGAAGGTACCTATATCTTGAGCATGTTAAATTGTCAATTTATATATGGAGTAACCTAAGACACTGGAAAGCAAAACAACATAAGATAATTTTGTTTTTTATTGCAAAGATAAATTTTTTACAAATCTATGTAGGCGCAGCATTTTGTCTTAGTACGGAAAATTCTTATCAAGTTACCATCCCTATAAAGGTTGTTATTATAATAAAAAGTAAATTATAAAGAATAATTTCAGTAAGTGATATATGTATTTTATCAAAAATCGGAACATATTTTCACTTAAAATTCCCATTCAGGAAATGTTGAAAACCATTTTTAAATGAGCATAAAGAAATAATAAAACATTTTAAATGAGCATAAAGAAATACTGAAACATTTAAATGAGCTTGAAGAAATACTGAAGCAGAGGAAAGACCATAAAAATTCAACCCAATCTATTAAAGGGTTTTTTTTTTAATCATAAGACACCTCATTGAATTTGTAATTGAAAAAATAATATAATGGAATCTAGAAACTTTTATATCAACTTTGCTGAATAATTTATGCTACAACAAATAAATAGATATACATATATTTATTTTGAAAAATCAAGTTTATCTTCAGTTGCTCACATAAATATTGAGAGCAAATATTTTTCTGAAAGACATTGGTAGAATCGCTGAGATATATGCTAATTTGTAGAAAAAATATATAGATATAATCATTTGTATCTGCAAATATTGTTTATAATCCTTTTAAGTTCCAAGAAACATTTTGTGATTTGATGTATCATTTGGAAAGTTTTTAACGTTTTAAATTACATATATATTTTTATTAGCAACAAATGAGTTGGATACTACGTTTCATTTTAATGTGTCAAAATTAGTTTAGTACCTACAGGAAATAATAAATTTTTGGGCAACAAAATGTATGTTGTATGCTCTAAAGGCATACAGAAATACAGCCGGATGTAGAGGGCCATCAGTGGTAACTATGCACAATTCAAATACTTTATTTAAACTCTAAAATGCACGCGTGGACGAGGCCAAAGTTAAGCTTTGCCGGGGAGACAAGCAGGCAGGCTTTAGTTTTACACAAGACTTCCTAACCCTCTTGCTCTGTGCTCTTTGCCATGGCAACGGGAAACCAAACTTTGTTCAAAATTTCTAAATAATTTTAGGGGACACTGGTGGTTTTGAGAATGCAGATAAGGGTGAGTGTTCTCTGGTGTTAATAAAGTTGTAATGCCAGGGAGATCTACCACACCACAGCATGGCAGTTAAGAGTATATGAGTTATGCTATGTGAGGTGTGTGATGAGTTTTGTTATGATTCATAACGGTTAAGACTCATTTCCTGGCACGTAATTCTTCATTTTTCCATCTGCATTAAAAATATGTATCTCGTGTTATAAACATGGATTGTGCCTTGTACATCACAGACATTCAATGAAAAGTAATTGAATTTGGTAAGCAATCCTATTAAGTTCAAAATTCTCCATAATTTAGAGATTTGGGAATGTGAGTAGAATTACTTGTTGATTTGAAAAATACAATTTCCTACTAAAAACTTGCCTGTGACCCTTATAGCTAGAATTTGAAATGCACTTTGTTACAGGAAAGACTAGGTGGGGTTAGAGCCTATATTATCCTTTTCTCTTTTGCTCTGCGTAACTAAGTACAGGGGCAGAGTAGTTAGCTTGAATTTAGTTATTTCTTTGTTCTGGGCTATTTGATATCCTCTCAACAGTGACTATTAACCACCATAGAAATATAGATGTAGAAACATTGTTCATATACATGCACATATATTTCTTTATATACACACACATAAACTAATTATATATTTGTGGGTTATATATACTAGTCTATCTATTTACCTACCTACCTACCTGCCTACCTATCTACTGGTTTTCCATGTTTGTCTACTTGGCGTTCCATGGACTTTAGACCTTGGCCTGTTCTTTTTTTGGGGGGGGCGGACAGAGTCTCACTTTGTCGCCAGGCTGGAGTGCAGTGACGTGATCTCGGCTCACTGCAACCTCCGCCTCCCGGGTTCAAGTGATTCTTCCTCCTCAGCCCCCCGAGTAGCTGGGACCACAGGTGAGTGCCACCACACCCAGCTAATTTTTGTGTTTTTAGTAGAGACGGGGTTTCACCATGTTGGCCAGGATGGTCTCGATCTCTTGACCTCATGATCTGCCCACCTTGGCCTCCCAAAGCATGAGCCACTGCGCCCGGCCCCTGTGTTGTTTTTTTCTCCACGTGGTTCCATATCTTTGCCTACTGTGTGTTGATCACTCTGATTCTCCATCTCCAGACTCATCCCTCATTAACATGGAACTAACTTCCTTTCCTAAATCCAGACATTGACATGCTCCCCAAGTCCTGAAATTTTGCCTTGTAATAATTTCTAATAACTTCTTGCTTTGACACCTCCATTGCCATCATCTTAATTCATGGTTTCATTATTTCCTACCTGTAACATTGTAATAGTTTTTTAATCAGTCTGAAGTCTCATTCTTTTTTATACGTACTCTCTTGACACCTTAAAGAATAAAATAAAAGGTGAAGGGGTACTGATGTGTTCTCATTGCCTTTGGTATAAATTCTAATCTTTTTGCCAGAGCAACCGATTCCACTAATGATCCGGGAGCTAGGCCTGGAGCTGGGAAGGGAGCTTGTTTTTCTTTCTTTCTTTTTCTTCTATGGTTAATTAAAATAAAACAAACAGGAGGTAGTTTTAACACCCAGTTCCTCTATACTTTCTCAAGGCATTTAAGGCTCTGGGCAAATCCTACATCTTCTGTGATGTTCTCTTTTGTCACAAAGTATCTCCACTGAAATTGTTTATTTTTTATCACCTTTTCTTGGCATTTTGCAAGTCATTTTAATTTGCTGTTGTTGCGATGATGATTGGTGATGATGACGCTGGTGACATGCGAATCAGTGGATTTACTGACATTGTAACCTTTGTGAAATCAAGTATAGGACACATGAAAGGCAGAAACACATAGCTCCTGTACCTGCTTTTTCACCAGGCACTGAATTAACCATGGATTAAAAAAAAATAAAACTGCAGATTATAGTGATAAAGGAGAGGAAAATTTTCAAAGAGAGAAGTTAAAAAGAGGGAGAATATGAGATTTTAAAAAAAGTAACCAGAGGCAAAGTGGGAGGATGAGGGTAGCAGGACTACTTTGTCCAGATAAATAAACTGATTTGGGATCTAGATTCATAGGCTTTGCCTTTTTGTTTTCTTTTGCTTTTTTCTCTGCTCCTTTCTGTACTCTCTTCATCTCATCTCTTGTCTGGAAAGATCCTCCTGACTTCCTAAAAGTTCATAGTTTGAGGATGTCCTTCCTAAATTTTCTTTGACCTTTCTTTGGACATTTTAGGTAACGTAATTTGGAGGGTCAGTTTTGTTCTTCAGATACACATACCCCTAGGAGGAAAAGGAAGGAATGGGGAGGGAAATGCAAATCTGGCAGAGTGATAACATGAACAGATTAAGTTCAGTCCTGGCAATTGCTGGTTTGAGCACTGGTACTAGTGCTCAGGGATTGCTTGCAAGGACGCATGGAATATGGCGGACCCTAGGTGTTGCATTATGTGCACACCAAAAGTCTGTAGAGATCTGGGAATAATTTCTTTTCAGACAGTGTGGTGATGAATGTCAATCTGAGTAGGTAAGAAGCAGAGATTTGTGCTGAGATTGAGTCGTTCTCTTGGTAAATGCACAGTGTTCACAAAGACAAGGTTTCATCTTCAGACCATGTGTGTATATGTCAGCTTGGTGCAGAGTGAGACATTTTTCATCAACACTGACCTTTGATTTGTTTCTAGACATCTTATAGGTTGATGTAGTTATTTACATGGGAAACACTCAGAATGGAAATTTAACATATCTTTAGTTTAAAATTAATTTCAGTCTGGTCTAAATATCTTTGTAAGTACTAGGCATCCAGCCTCATAGCAGT